AAGAATTAATCAAAGATTGGTTTAGTAAAATTATTTACTTGTAATATTTTTTTATTCACCGTGAAAGCTAATACAATATAGAAAGCACTGAAACTCTATAATCATTTTCACTCTTTTTTTTTCAAAATATGTACTGAAATTTGAAATTTTTTCAACAAACATTTTAAAAAGTTACAGTATCAAAATTATTTCTTATTTTAAGTAGGAAGACTATTAGAGCATTTAAAAGTGTCTTTAATGCTTGAGTGATTTTAATGCTTTTTATCAAATGTACTTATTTTCTCATGGTGACAAAAAAAATTATCTACGTGAAAATTATTTTACAAAATCAATTTCTGAGTGATCTGTGTAGGGTGAGATTTGTTATGTAATTTTAAATTTAGCGGCGGCAGAATACCTAAAACAAATATTGAGTAGGTAGGTATATAGTTGTAGAGCGTACAACTAGATGGCGCTTGCATCTTTTACCGGCTACAGGTAATTTAACTCACTGTATTACCGATAATTCCTAGAAAAGGAAAGCAATAGAAGTTGGAGAAAGTGTCAACAGTTAGCGCTCTTACTAACCACGAAATTTGTTCAAGTTTCCTATCTACAGTATCATTTATCTAGGACTCCCGTGACTGTCGACTGACTCTCGTGCTCGCTGATCCAGCGGACCGCGCTCCATCGGCTGACCTCGACTGCTCGCGCATTCCGAAAGGGGTTCTGGCTGACTCAGTAATAGCGACGTAGTGGATGACATCCCTCATTCATAATTAGCATTTAACACGGCCATCCTGCATATGGGGCGTCCTCGCACCAGGAAAAGTTCTGTAAACAGTATAAACTAAGATCACTGAATGCATTATTGAACAGCCTTCAGCTCTGTGTTTTGATTTCTTATTCCAAACAAACTGATATCACATTGCTGCACTATTTTGTTACGAGGTATTTGGGACTACCTCAACACTGACCTTAAAACATTAAGAATCATCAACAATTTTTAAACTACAACATGTTATGTGTAGTCTAGAGATGAACAATTTCATCGCCTATTATTTTTTTTTTACAGCAGAGCTGATTGTTGTATTATTTTTAATTACAGTTGGTACTACGGTACTGCCACACTGGTTTTCTTTCTCTCTTTATCTCTTTCTCTCTCTCTCTTTTTTTATGTGGGATTGCCACACACCCGCTTCCCTTTTTCTATTTTGGATTTGGTATGGTAAAAGTAATTCTTTTTCATTTTTTTTTAAGAAGTTCAGAGGTACATGCCTTACCATGCACTTAACTTTATTATTACTTTTTTTATTAGAAAGTTCAGAGGTATATGCCTTACCATGCACTTAACTTTTTCCTTTTTTTTTTTAGAAAGTTCAGAGGTACATGCCTTACCATGCACTTAACTTTATTATTACTTTTTCTTTTTTTTTACAAAGTTCAGAGGTACATGCCTTACCATGCACTTAACTTTATTATTACTTTTTCTTTTTTTTACACCACGTATTCCTCCAATAACTGACCAGACTCATCATAAACTGGGCACTGATTGAAGTCGTTCACTAGTTGACATCTTTCCATTGTGGCTCTTTCTAATTTAATATTGAAGTATGGACTCTGGACCTCATGTTCTCAAGACTAGAACACGCTCGCTCTTTTCGTTCGTAATGTGTAATACGCTACAACATCTTAATGGCATTTTGCACTTTCAACTGAGCCTTTTTCTTCAGTATTTTGTTCTTCTTTTAGCACATTTTTTTCGAATCCTTTTACTGTCTTTGGATTTGACTAGAAGGTACTTTGTTTTTGGTTAAGTGCTCATTTTTATATCGCACGAATAATGCCATCCCGGAAAACTTCGTCGACTGTTCATTGCAACTGGCGTTCGTTTAACATGTGATTGGCATTAGGGTCTGTATGATACCGATTTGTTATTCTTCAGAAAGATTTGCAATTTTCCTGTTGTGATACAGAAAGACATTTCTCTCTACAACAAGTGTTTTATATTTTTAATTGTAGGCTCGTCCAGTCCTGACCCTTTTATGCTTATTTGTAGTATCTGTAAACACTTTTGGTATGTGATCTAGACAATGGTATAATTCCGAACCCTAAGCACTTTTCGTGACGCGTAGATGACCTTGTCTAATAACATCTCAACCAATAACTAATAGCATTCAAGTTCTAAATGTTCTGGAATTACATCATCGGTATTCAACTTATAAACAGAATTTCCAAAGTTACAGTCGCCGAAACAGTTATAACCTTGCACGTGCAGATAATGTAAACATTTTTTTATTCGGAGTCTTAGAATTGATAGATCAGCAGCACTATCACAGAGGTACGGAAAGTCTTGCTTTGTTTTTATAAATTAAAGTAGAAACTGGAAACGTTGCCAAGTCGCTTCTTCATAATGAGTGTAATCTTTTCTTAGTTTCCACACTTGTACCAACAATTCTTTGTTACAGGCGTTCTTAATTCTTGCAGTATGTGCGTGAAAGTACTTCATTACTCTTTTGTCGGTTGTATCATTTTTCTGTTGTCATGCAACACTCGTGCTGATGTTTTTCCAAACTTATCACAAGATCCAAAACAGAATTATTTCATCTAAAATCACAGTTGTCTATTGTTTTCTGTTTAAAATCACTCGAACATTACCATGTTGAACAATATCTTTAATAGTGTCTGTCAATAGACACTTGAAAATGGCTTCCACAACAATTCATTATGGAATCAGTGAACAGTATAGAGTTCCCTAATGACAAAGTCGTTAAGGGATTTACAGTCGCTACTTTTTAACTAGCTGTTACGTAAACTCGTGCACTAGCAATCACAACAAAGAGGTCCTTAGAAAACTTATTCTTAATTTGGCACTGGATTCCAGCCACAGTAGCAATAGTTTCTTCTTTTTAAAATTTGTGTAGCCTTTGTTGTCATCGATACAATATATCACCACATTAAGTTAATTTTTGAACTTGTGGCAACGTCGATCCACTCTTCTATGGAATAATTGGTGTCGTCTGAATTGGATTCGGCCAATCAGAATGATGTTAGAACAGAAGCTGAAACTTGCGCACTCGCTACATCTGACACGGAAGATGGACTAGGCGTTGGCTTGGTCGCCATATTGGATTGACAAAATAATATTGCCAATTGCTCCTGTAGCAATACTGATGTTGTTTCTTATTGTTTTTGTTGCACGTTTTTAGATGTGATTCACATACTGTCTCATAATCACCATCACTGTCACTTTTTCAGCCTTTGTTCTGCACTGGTTTACTTCGTTTCACCATATTGTAGTAAATTACAATTCTTCTTGTTTATTTAGTCACAGGGGTTGTTAAGATACACGGGATGTATCCCACTTCTGATGTTAGAAAAACGGGTGTTTTCACCCCCGATTAAAACACATAATTTCAACAATCGGTTTATTCCCTCAAACGACAGAGTTGTCTCTTGTTTATTCGCTATGTCGGGACCCTGGCGACTCCCGTGACTGACTCGTGCTCGCTGACCCTGCAGACCGCGCTCCATCGGCTGACCTCGACTGCTCGCGCATTCTGAAAGGGGTTCTGGCTGACTCAGTAGGTAATAGCGACGTAGTGGATGACATCCCTCTTTAATAATAAGCCTTTAACATATTTATAGCGACGACATTGAGACGACGTCTTTTTATGTTACGTTGACGTCATGAGAATGTAAGATAAAGTATTTTTTTTCTTCATGGTCATTAGCTTATTTCATTCATCATTAGATCATTTCAATGAAATTATATTAAAACAATATAAATATTTTATTGGAAATCAGTGATATTATCTGTTTACTAGTACCTACTAATAATCGGTGAACTGCAAACTTTCTTGTCTTCAGCTAATGTCCACATAATATTGAGAAGTTGCTGATGACCACAAAACTACGTTGAACTTGATTTCTCTTTTGCTTCTGAACGTTCGTTTACTGAAATTAACACCGAAGATATTTAGATACACAATTCCTATTATAATATGTATAATAAATAATATCGCAAAAATGTTATTTTTCTTTTCTATGTACAGGAATATTTACGTAAACATTCTACCTTATCTAGTTATGACCTATATAGAAAAAAAATCAATTAAATAAATTTTAGAAAATTTTCTTAGTGGCAAAAAAATATCTAAAAAGGCAATCCAATATTGAATATCTGAAATATAAACCAAGTGTTCTTTTAAAAACACAATATTTGTTTAATCCCTTCTTTTTTGTAATTGCTGTGATATATACTTGTCATATATTTGCTTTAAAAGACTGCACAAGTTATACATCTACAAATTGCATCTTTAAATGGGGGAGGCGTGACCATATTTCCTGATTTTTTTGGTAATATTTAGTACCTATTTAAAGTAGCTTTCATGAATTTTTTCAAATTTTTATTTCAAGCCCTCAATAAGTTAAGAGCATCTAATTATTTTTGGTGAAAAACGTTTCAAATACCTGCAACAAAAACTAAAGACATTATAACTTTTTTTCATTTTATTCGTTTTGAGACGTAATTTTATAAAAAAAATATATATATAAATAATACATTTTTAGTTATTTGAGGTGTATTTTGATTTTTAAACCAAAAACATGTTTTTGAAAATGAGTGACGTTTGTTTTTCTTCGAAAAATTCTCAAAAATGTCGTCTTTCAGTATGCAAATCTATGAGACAATTTCTAGAGAACTTTTTTATCCTATTTTTCTTTTCGAATTATTATTTTTTATATTTTTAATGTTTACCTATAGATAATGTACGCTATATTAAATGAAATTTTAGTATGGAAGTAAATCGCGATGACTAACTACTAAAAATACCATATTTTTAAAACTACTTCTACAAATATTGTCATTACAAAATATCTAAATTATTATTAACTAAATATTCCAATTTCTTTCGAATTAATCCAAACAATGATAAAACTTAAAAATGAACTAAATGAATGATTTAGGTAACTATAATTCTTACTTACAAAAATTTTTTTAACTAATCATATTTTTTCAGGTGTGGGAATGATTCCTGTAAAAGAGTAAGTATTTAAATAATTTTTTAATAAGGACTTTATAATTAGGTACTGATCATTCTCTGCAGTAAAAAAACCGACTCGTTGAGCTGGCAAATCATTTCTGACAACAATTCTTCTTCGAGATCCTCACCACAGCTGAGTGAAAAAGTACATGATGTTCGAATCAACATTATGGTCGCACCAAGATCAAAACTGGGTTGTGGGTAAGAAAAGTGTAGAATTTATGCAATAATAAAAAAAAATAAAATAAAATAGAAATCTGATCAATTATTTTCACATTGAATTCAGATGTCGAGGAAAGCAAAATACTATAATAACGTAATTTGTAATAATTTCACTTCGTTCTTATTTAAAACGTTCCAAATGACATTCATAAAATATGTGCTTTATATTTAGAGGAAAACACTTAAAACTTTTTTTTTTATAGGATTCTACTAAATTTTGTCTGATATAAATGTGTAATTTACTTTCCATGTTTAATGATTTTTGTTTAGCATCTTCTTAATAGGTCAAAATATAGGTAAGTCAAAATATAAAAGGTTTTACAAATTTCTGTCTATTATACTAGGTGAAATGGATAAACAAATAATTGTTTTGATATTTTCAGAAAAATCTAAAGTATTTGTACCAGTAAATAAAAGACTACAGTAGGTATTTTTCAAAAATACATAAATTTAATTCAATTCTACCTCTGTAGTTGCACTTACATTATTAAAGTGGACATGCTCATACATTTCTACTATGTTAAAGCGTCTCACTAGAGTACTTTAGAATATAGAGAATTTAATAATCATATTTATAATCAAATAGAATGTGAGACCCAAAAAAGTTAAAAACCGCTAAAAAGTCGTTTATTGCCTTTTAAATAAGGATGGCAGTTTACTTAAATATATAAAAAGTAAGTCATTGTAATACATATGTAAAAAAATTTAAAAAATTGTTCAAATAAGCCTTTGTTCCAAAATGCCTTTTTATGAAGGTATAAGGTGTTGAAGCTCATAAGAAAATAGTAATTTCTTAATATTTCCAGAACGGCTTAACAGATTGTTTGAAATTTGGTGTAGTATATATCACTGTCAATTTCTACTCTCCTGTGACGAACCAGCAGAATACTAAAAGTCACTGATGTACAATACCACCAAGGCGAACTTTAAAAAAGTGTTGTTTCGCTGAGTAATGTTGGAAATAATCTGTTTTTTAGATTTAGTTTTCATTTTACTACAAAAAAGCCCCCTTACATATTTTCTCTAAAAGGCTACAGTAAAAAATAATAAATGGATGTACAAAAACAATTACCCAATCAAATTAATACCTTCTCTACTAAAATAATGTCTTAAAATAATATAGGCTGATAAAAGAGTTTATATTAAATTATTGGAAATACATCAGAATTTAAAAAAAAATAAACAATATTAGCATTAAGTAACTATACCAAATGTTCGAAGTGTCTTCCTACAGCCGCAATACAATGAATTTATTTGCTGCCACTATAATTCGTTCCTATAACTGTTATTTACTGTTAATTACCTCGTTGTAAATACATTGCTTTAAAAATTTGCATAAAGGAAAATTTAGTGGATGGATTTCTTGGAGGCCATCTCATAGGAATCGACCAATCCATCTACCACCCAAATGATTATTTAACCACTCTGTATTTGGAACCATTTGCGTTCATGTGATTATTGAGTTCTTGCAATTCCAGTAAAGTACCATTGCAGATTCCTCTCCATATATTGATAGAAAATCCTGGAATCTTCTGCTTCTTTTAACATAATGAATAATGATGCAAATTTTGAAAATTTATATGCTGGCTCTGACAAATGTCGCTTCATCGGTCCATAAAATAGACGAAATAAAATTAGGATCATAGGTGATTTATCTTCCTAATAAGCCACTAACAAAAACATATGCATTGCTCGGCGTCCCCATGATAAAGATCTTCAATACCTGTATGGTGGTAAGGGTTGAAATGGCTCGCTTGTAAAATTTCTAACTACATGGAAATTCGACGCTTACAAGGATTACCTAAGACTGCATCAATTACAACTTCCTCATGATCTGCAACATTTTGTCTCTGCTGTGCCCAACTCCTTGGGTTTTCGAAATACCAAGTTCACTCGGACTTCGGAAGTTTGAAGCAAATATCTGATGATTTTGGGTTCTATTATTACGGAATCTACGGTGTTATTCTCTTACGGCTACTGAGGCATTTTCATCAGAAAAGCCATACACGTAAACGATGTCAGCTACTTCTCTTGTAGTAAAATCAACCATTTCGATAATTTTCGAATAATTCACGCAAGTAGGTGAATTTTCAAAAAATTATTTACTAATTTAAAAATGAATGATTGCTACTGACAGCAGTGCTTTTGTTTGGCTATCAAAGCTTTGCTACTTGATTTTAAGAATTCGATTTTTACCTTCTGCATTTTTGAAACACATTTAACATTTTAATAATCTCAAAAATGATGGTTTCTCACATGAAACCAACAACTGACAGTGACATTTGCTGCACTAAATTTCAAAACAGTCTGTTGAAATATTTAAAAAAGAATATTTTCTTATAAATTCCAACATACTCTGTCTTTATAAGGAGGTATTTTGGAACAAAGGTTTATTTGACCAATGATTTTGTTTTGATGAGAAGTTTCGGCAATTTTTTTACGATAACACTTATTTATGATTTATTATCTCACAGGATTTGCAAAGGTCCTGACTGGAAACCTGGAATTTTTGTTCAATTCACAAAGGAAGGTGGTATTGCAAGGGAAGCGGGTCTCAGACCAGGTGACCAAATTCTGTACTGCAATAACGTGGATTTTTCTGACATCCCATTCAACGAGGTAAGAATAATTTTCTATCAACTTCCTAATACTGGATTTAAGTAAATGCTGTAACAAGTTTAGCAATAAATTACTAATTAACAATTTTTCCCTATAATTGAATTTATAAATGAACTTTGGCAGATGGTAGCTGGGTTAATTTCAAACAATTTTTCTTAAATGAACATAGCTCCGAATCGCTTTTGTTTAGAAGTTACAAGCATCTTAAAAAATATAATTTCATATTTCAATCAAAGTAGCCTGATAAATAAAAATGATGGTTGTTATAACAATAAATTATTATTTGTGTCATTCTGTTTATTCATTTGACATTTAGCGTTAAAGTGCTAAATAAAAAATGCATTTATTTATAACAAGAGTATGGAGATATTGTCTTTGTATATGGGGATTCCAATGGGAACGCCAGACAAGCGGCCTACCGACGAAGATACCCAAACAGACATCAACCTGCCCACACAGACTTTAGTGCATCATTTCGTAGATTTCGAGAAGAAGGTAACCCCGCTCCAAAAAAGGCAATTCGTCTGATGTACAAAATGAAGAAGACATAATAGATGCATTGACAACTCTTCAATTAGTGTTCGGCATATAACAAGTAATCTTCATTTATCGCCTAATTTTGTATAGCATGTACTAAACAGAGAAATGTTACATCCATTTCATCGCCAAAATGTACAAGCATTACGCACTGGATATGCTCCTCAGCGATTACATTTTTGTCGCAGGTTACTTCAACAACATGCACAAATAAAAATAATAGATTCATTTCGCTTGTCATGTGGTCTAATGAAACGTGTTTTACTAGGGACGACATAAATATTAATCATAATTAGATACATCTTTACATAACATTCTGGAAAAGCAACCTTTTTGATGTCATTGGTGACGTAGGGCTTAATATTGTTCAAAATATGTAGTATCAACACGATGGTGCAGCACCAGATAAAGGAAGACAAGCAACTGATTGGTTAAATGATCATTTCCCGAATAAATGGGAAAAGGTCCAATACCATGGCCACCGCGTTCCCCAGATCTAAATCCTTTGGACTTCTATTTATAGGGACAGGAAGTAGCTTGCCAGATAAAAAATGGTCCAAATCATCCCTCGATTGCCGATTGATAGAATCTTTAGTTCGCTGATGTGGGACTTACATTCGAGCCGAGGGTGGACATTTTGAATAATTTTTATAATCTGAAGATTTATTCATTTGGTTAATAAAGGTTAACTAATTTTTAATCTTTAGACACAAATAATTATTGTCATATCATTTTTATTTATTAGATTACATTGATTGAAATATGAAATTATATTTTTTAGAATGCTTGTAACAATAACGAATTGGACCTACGATATAAGAAAAAAATGTTTTACATTAATACAGCTACCATCTTTCTAAGTTTTTCACATAGCTTGTAGAACACCTTGCATATTTGCAAAATATAGTTTTTTACACACACTATATGCAACATTTTTCAAGAGATTTCGCAGACATTTTCATCATGAAATTTTCCTTGAGAGCATAAAAATCACCACCAAAAAAACGGTATGCTTTATTATCAAAAAAATATGAGTTTAAATTTCACCAGCCACCAATGACGTAGGACAAAATTGCATGATCTGACAGCAAACGTTGATGCAATTTTATTGTCGCAATCGAACTTGCATAACCTGATATAAACTTAATAAACATCTATCATTAACTAAGTCGTGTCACTGGTTTAACATGCTTGATAGTTTCGATAATAAAAATATAATCCGTCTAAGTCTGAACTATATGGATCGGACTGTAGATATATCTATATCAGTTCATATATCAACAATTAAATAGAAAGTTATGGACTGAAAGTGTAAAATGGGTTACGACATATATGAACATAAACAGATAAAGTTGAAACTGTAGAGAAATGCTTTATATGTGAGCAGATTAATAAGATAAATAAGAAACTGAATGTCAGTGGATTTATTTAATAAAGAGTGTTCAAATTCGAGTTAACTTTTTAATTTTTTAATAACACATAATTTATTCGAAATAACTAGATATCTTTATTGAATATTAAAGTAGACATTTTGCGGTTAAAAATGGAAAAAAATAAGTGACCGCCTCTTGCAGCTCTACAGGCCTTCAATGTTCTACCAAATTTTCCATCATGTGTTCACATAACAGTTGTTTAAAAATAAATCACTAGTCTGTTACACTTAATTTGTATATTTTTACTTTGTACAGTTAAAGAATTGCCATACATGTGTCTCGTTCTCTCATCAGACACACACTGTGTCCGCGGGGTGGGCGAATCATTGCGTTACGTCCCCAGCACAAGTGGACACGTGCGGCTAACACAATATAGTATACAATATTTTCACTTTTTATAGACATATTATTCTACATACCCGCCGCCTTGAAAGGGGGTCTTTCAAATAAAACATTTTTCTTTTTACAAAGGCAACTAAAATTATAGCTCATGAACTTAATTTGAACAGTCTGATAAACACACCTTATTAATCTTCACTTAACGGTAACGGGCAAATTTTTGTAAATGACCTTTCACTACACCACCTTTTGTTTTTACACTAACAACACGTACAATTCCATCATTCCCTGGATGAATCTCGGTGACACGCCCTAGCCTCCAATTTAAGGTTGGAACGTTGTCTTCTTTGTTGACTACTAGCTGCCCAACCTTTAACGATGACTGGTTTGTTTTCCATTTGCACCGAACTTGTAACTGCTGTAAATATTCCTTTGACCATCTGGTCCAAAAATGTTGCTGCAGCTGCTGCATGTACTGGAATCTTGATAACCGTGTCATGGGAATGTCTTTAACATCAGGGTCTGGAAGTGAAGTCAATCTTCTTCCAATAAGAAAGTGGGCCGGTGTTAAAACGTCCAGGTCATTGGGATCAGAGGATATTGGAGCCGGAATGAAATGCCAATTTACTCCCTATTTGTGAAATGATTCTAATAAGGATTTTCCTTCGCGGCTCAAAAATTGACCAAGTTCTCTCAATTCTGCATTAGCACCCACGAAATTTAAACCGTTGTCAGAATAAACAGAGTTTGGAGTACCACGCCGTGATGCAAATCGTCGGAATGCTGCAATGAACCCCTCCTTTGTGAGATCCGACACGAGTTCTAAATGGATAGCTTTAGTGGCAAAACATATAAACAAACAAATGTAACACTTGGTGAGCCTACTGCCTCGCCCTCTTTTATCTTTGATGTAGATCGGACCCTCATAATCAACCACGGTTATGCAAAATGGATCCGCAGGTTGAACCCGATGTTTTGGTAGTGCTCCCATTAGTGGACTAACTAATTTTGGTTTAGCGCGATAGCTCCTAATACACTGATGCACCGTTTGCTTTGCAAGATTTCTACCCCCGATGGTCCAATATCTCTCACGAATACAGGATAACATTTGCTGTGGTCCTGGGTGTAACAGCCTTTGATGTTCGTCAATAAAAATAAGTTTCGTCAGATTATTATCATTTGCAGATAGCATAATTGGATGCCGTTTTTCAAAAGTCAAATTTTGATGTCTGCCACCCACTCTAATTATTCCAGAATTATCAATAAACTGATTCAAGCATAAAAGCTTGCTTTTTTTCGAAATTTGACCTTTAGCCATCAGAATACGATATTCATCGGGAAATGTTTTTCTTTGTGAAAGTTTCAATAAACATGCCATCGATACATGTAATTCCTGTGATATCAATGGACCTGTTAATTTACTCTTTGGTTTTCTACAGAATTTTGCAAATCTTAAACAATAGGCGATAACACGTTTTAATCGATTTAAATTGGAAAAGTTTTCAATAGTCAACGCCCCATGGCAGGTAACAACAAATGATTGAGCATGCTCAACTCGAAGTTTAGGTAATTCCATTTCTATATTAAATTTTGATTCAGGCCAAGAACTTTCATCGTGAGATAGCCACTCCGGGCCACACCAACAAAGAGACGAATTCACCAATTTTTGAGGAAGTAACCCACGTGACGCCAAATTTGCGGGATTACTCTTTGTGTTTACATGTCGCCAAGACAATGCATCGGTTAAGCTTTGTATCTGTGATATACGATTTGCAACAAAAACGTTTAACAAATGTGGAGATGATTTTATCCAACTCAAAGCCACGGTTGAGTCAGACCACAAGAAGATACAATCAAACTGGAGTTTCAATGTCAAGTTTACTTTATTCATAACCTGAGCCAATAACAAACAAGCGCATAATTCAAGCCTAGGCATTGTAGTTGACTTTAAGGGTGCAACCTTACTCTTGGAACATAGAAGAGAAACTTGAATTTCATTATTGGAATTTACACTTCGTATATAAATATAACAACCATATGCATTTTTGGATGCATCAGCAAATCCATGGAGCTCGATTTTGCATGCTTTCTTAATAATTACATGTCGTTTGATTTCCAAGTGATTCAATTTCGACAGTTGAGCGCTATACTCTTGCCATTGATCGTGTATATTTGAAGGAAGCGATTCATCCCATGAGAGTTTCAGAGCCCACAATTTTTGAAGAATGATTTTTGCGATTATAATGCTTGGACTTAGGAGCCCCAATGGGTCAAAGATTTGGGAGATATCAGACAAAACCGACCTTTTTGTTATAGCCTTAGAAGATAATGACCTTATCTTATACTTAAGCGAATCGGACTCACATGACCAGTACAATCCTAAAACCTTTGTATTTGATTTATCGCCAAATTGCAACGTTTGTGTGGTCGTATCTAAACCATGTACATGTTGTAACACTTCAGAACTGTTTGAAGACCATTTTCGCAGATTAAATGAAGCAGCTTTTAGAATCGCAGAGACGTTTGAGCAAAGCGGAATCAACTTTACTACCGAATCAGCTCCAGAAATAAAGTCGTCTACATAGAAATCATGAAGAGATCGCCTCACATGCTTCCGGAAAGACTTCACAATGTTCGATGGCTAATTGCTTCAAGCACCGCACTGCCAAAAGTGGTGCCGATGCCGTCCCA